TGGTGTTTGCCTTCTCTGATTGAGGATTTTTACACCTATGTTTGTTGACCAGTAATTCTCTGTCTTAGTTGGGTCCTCTCTGGTATTGAGAACCTCAAATTCTTGTACTAGGAACAAAGCTTTGGGGAAAGGATGAAGAAAGAGGGTTTATATGAATGAGAGCGATGTGGGGGACCCTTCCATCTGGAAACTACATTGTAATAATTACTATTTAAATGAATAATTGCAATTTAAAATGCCTTCAATTACATCTTTTAAACTTTCTTTTTTCCTTCTCCTCCTCCTCTTCTTTCTCTTCTCTCCCCTCCTTCTCCTTCTTTTTTGAGATAGGGTCTCTCTAAGCAGTTCAGGTTGGCCTTGACCTCATGGTGATCCTCCTGCCCCAGCTTCCTGAGTGCTGGGATTACAGCTGAAATCCATCCAGGCCCAGGCCTGGCTACTGAATCTTGTTATATTGCTTTAATACACTTAGAGAAAATGTCTCTAACTTTAACAAATTTTTTCAAAAGTTTTCTAAGATTCCTTTTAAGGTTGTCTCCTGCATAGACAAATTTCTCTGAAGAGATCTGGAGATTCTGTACCAGACAGTATTCATGTGTAGGAGGTGAATTCTTAGAATGATTTGGATCCTGGAGAAGGAATAAAGTTTCACTTCCTTTAAGGTTGTTTTTATCAATAGCAAATAGATTACTTTTTTTTTTTTTTCTTGTCTTCTGAGACAGGATTTCTCTGTTTAGTTCAGGCCTGCCTTGAACTCATGTTGTAACCCAGGCTGGTCTCAACCTTGTAGTGATCCTCCTGCCTCAGCCTCCAGAGTTCTGGGGAAAATCAATAACTTTAACTTTAATTTTTCTCTTTGGTAATTATGAGTTTGTCATCTTTTGGTATCAGGAATTGAACTCAGGACTTTGCACTTGCCAGGGCTGATCTGCATCCCCTGCCCTTTTTTGGTTTTTTGAGACAAGAACTGCCTATGTAGCCCAGGCTTGCACTTGTGGTGATCCTCCTGCCTCCCGAGGGCTGGGCCTGCAGGGGTGCTGGGACTTGTGTGTTTTACTCTCCGCTTTACTAGTGCTATTAAAGTGTCTGGGGATGACAACAGAGACACACTTGCGGTGCATGTGCCTGGTGCTGGGTGCTGGGTGGCAAAGGCTCGCCCGCCAGGCGACCA